AGGCCATTTCCAGGTTTTCATGAAAATTTCTTTTCTCACTGCCTCTCTCCTCTTCAGTCGATCATGCACAAACAAGATTTTTGCCCTTCAGAAAACAAGCTTGGCTTATCTGTACAGAAATCTGCTTTATTAATTTGTTTTCAGCTGAGTATACAAAATATCTGCTGCACACTTCCTGCATTTTGTCAACATCTTGCTAATTACTTAAATGACACAGTTTTCTTTTTTCTTTTTTTTTTTTTTCTTTTTTAATGAAACATGTTGGAGACAGGGAGAGTCTGTCTTCAGTTACTCATTTCATTTATTCAAATTACAGCTTTCCAATCCAATACTGCAGAAAAAAATACTCCAGGGTAAATTTGGAAGTCTGTTTCATTATGATCCCTTAAGTATAATGTAATTAGAATCATGCCATGAATGAATAACAGTTTAGAAGCAATTATTTAATGACTAGGTGAATTTCTACCTCACAGCAAATATTTCTCACATTTCTGTCTGCTAGACATTTCAGCTGGTGTTAAGAAGATTAGAGAGATTAAATAGACATTTATTATCATGAAAGGAAACCAATAGCAATCTTACTCTTTGTTTGAGGAAGCAGAACAGGGGGAGTTGTGGACAGCTGTAGATTCTGCAACACAAGCTGCTACTTAACAGAGGCCTGATGCAAAGATTCTTGAAGACTTGATGTATCCACTGGATCAGATCCTTCAAAAGTTGTGGATCCTCTGTTTGTGATCAGTCTCTTGGAAGAAACAACACAGACACAGGCTGAATGTGAGGTTGGGGGGCTACTCAAAGAGAAGGGAATTAGAAAGGTGGAAATATACCAGGTAGAAATAAACCACACCATAATGGTGTGGTTTAACACAGAAATATGATGAACACTGAGAAAATGGAAGGCAATTAGCCCACAAAACAGTTAATTGCTCTACAATCAAAAGGCAAGAATGGAGATTATACTGCTAAACCAGCTTTGAGCTCATTATCCTCACTCTCTGCCTGAGTTACAGCTTCCAAAGAGCCCAGACTTTCTTGTGTGGATTCAGGGTAGTCCTGTTGCAAGAGACCAGGTACAGTGGTGAGCTTCCAGGATTGCTATAGATTTCAGGACAGATGATTTCCTGATAAACTGGGGGGGGGGGGGGAGGAAGGGAGAGAGAGAGACAATCAGAACTGTACTGTTTTTTAAAATTATAGAAATTGTATCATTTAAATATTATAGACTAAACACATTTAAACAACCTCTTTACCCATTGAAAGGGATTCTGCCCTTCCTAATTAGGATTGTGCAGTTAAACATCCATTCTTTACCATACCATGTGAAAAGTTACAAATAAACAGTGCATTACTAGTTGCTTCTTCACTTCAACACTATACAAGAATAATAAGTCTTTTAGTCTTCAACATGAAAATGTAGCTCCATACAGTATCTGTGGTGGAATTGTCATTTCAAGGCCTTGAAGCTCACCAAGAACGTGTCCTTCCTTTCTTTACTATTATACTTATTTCCCTTTAAAAATTAAAGTTACAATAATTATTATTGTAACAGTTTGCACATAATCTCCTGAGAATAAATACCCATGTAATGAGCCTGAAATGATATGGTAATTTCTTAATTCAAAATAATTACATGGCTATTTGTGCCCTCTAAAATAAGGTATTACTTATTCAGCCCAAACAAATTGCTATTTGCCCAGGTTTTGAACTCTGGTAAACAGTAGCACAACAGTCAGCTGAATACAAACCCTGAAAAAAAAATTATTTTAGATGCTTATTTACACAGAAGCAGAAACAAATATTTGTCAAGCCAACAAGCATACTTTAGTACAACCAAGGGAAAAACAACAGAAAGGCCTTGAAAACAGGGCTGAAAACGCAGCCAAGTCAGAGTGCTACAAAGGCACCAGCTGGCACAAAGTCACCTAGGTGCCTGCTATAAAGCCTTACAAACTTGAAAAATTAAAGATAAAAAAGTGGAATTTGTTTGGTTTATTTTGGCTTGTTTGCATCTAAGTTAACTGCATATCTTCCTATATCACCTGGAGACACAGACAGGAAAGTCACCAGAGGGGTTGAAACTGGAAGGAAAGAGAGACTTTCAAGCTATTGATTCCTCTAAATCAATAACAAGTCTTCCACTGGTTTTAATGGAGGCTGGAGAAGGCCTAGATTTTGGAGCACTAATAAAAGATTAAAAGTCACCTTGTTCTAAATGGCAAAGAATGCTTCTCATTTACTTTAATAACATAAGCTACAGCCACAGGCACTCATGACTATTGACTGCTAAATGGTAATTCTCTGTTTTCTCAGTCTGGAAGAATAACTAATAATGAAGGACTTGCAAATGGATTGGTGCTGCTTCATATGAAGACAGAGCCCTTCAAAATCCAGAGTGGACATCAAGTACTTCCCAGACATGCATGAATATGTGCCATGTATTTTCTACATGAGTAAATTAAATTGTGCACTACTTTTCATCTGTGATGATTAAATATTTGGGCCTGCAATGAAAATTAAATCCACACTTGATTTTGTATTTCTATGCTGCACAGCTACTCTTATTTCTCTTTTTGTTTAAACACACTGGACTGAGTTTTATACTGGTATTTGTTCTTGGAGTTACTGATTTCACTCACAGAAGTATATGCAAGATCTGGCATGCTGTTTCCTGCTTCCAGAAAAAAAATGAGAATCAGATGAATTCTGATCCATTCAAATTGCATACATCATGGGTGAGAAACAAAACTCAGTAATCAACATTTCTACTTAAAATCATAGGCAACACAGAATAATCTAAAGAAAAAATATTTTCAGAGGGTGATAGATTATAAAGAAGATATAATACAGGCTTTGTTTTTGCAAATGTTTTCAACTTAGAACAGGGTGCCTCAGGCTACTTTGTACTCTTTCATGCAAGGTCAACTTAATTCAAACTTGATTTTTGCTAAGGTTGCCTTGATATTTTGCATACCAATATTGTTTTAGGTGCTCTTGATACTTACATATTTTCATGAGAATATTGCTGAGATATTGCTGAGTCCCTTAGCTAAAGCTCTCTACATTTTTCTACATGGATTCTTTCAAAACACCTCAAAACACCACAAGGAAAGAGGAAAGTAAAAAAAAAAAAAAAAAAAAAGGGTTTGGGTAATGGTAAATGGCATTGAATTTAGTAGCTTGTGATAGCACAGTAGTAAATAACCCCACCATTGTTACTTGTAAACAGCAGCAAAAATTGCCCATGACTTCTTTGGTCAGTCTCACATTTTTATGATACAAGATTTTTAACAACTTGGCTACATTTAACATGCTATTACTGGTAGCTCTAATGGGAGTTACATCACTGGGTTTAGCATCCAACACCCCAGTACTAGCAGTACATGTGTCAGAACAAAACAGAATATCCCAAGTTGGAAGGCATCCACAAAGATCAAGTCCAACTCCTGACTCTACACAGGACTACCTAAAAACTAAGCCATATGTCTGAGAGCATTGTCCAAAAGCTTTTTGAACTCCAGTAGGTTTAGAGCCATGACCAATTCTGTGGGGAGCCCAACCATACTCCTGGTGAAGAACCTTTTCCTAATACCCAGCCTGAACTTCCCATGACTCATATCCATGCAGTTCCCTCAGGTCCTGTTCCTGTCAGCAGAGAAGGGCCTGCTCCTCTGCTCCCCTCGTGAGGGAGCTGCAGGCTGCCATGAGGCCTCACCTCAGTCTCCTCTTCCCTAGTCTGAACAAACCAAGGGACCTCAGTCATTCATCATACATCTTGCCCTCTAGGTCCTTTACCATCTTTGTTGCCCTGCTTTGGACACGCACTAATAATTTTATATCCTTCTTATATTGTGGCACCCAAAACTGCACACAGTGCTTGAGGTGAATGCAGGTGCCTTTGCAAGTTTTGAGTGATGACATCCAAATTATCTTGAACATTGTCGTGGTTCCGCCCAAGTGGGCAGCCGAGCACCACCACAGCCACTCTCTCACTCCCCCTCCTCAAAGAGGAACGGGGAGAAAATATGTGAAAAGGGCTCAAAGGTTCAGATAAAGACCAGAAGATCACGCAGTAATTATTGTAACGGGCAAAACAGACTCTGCATAGGGAGATAGTAAGATTTATTGCTTATTACTAACAAGCTAGAGAAGTGAGAAACAAAGGAAAGAAACCAAAAGCACCTTTCCCCCCCATCCACCCTCTTCCACCTCCTCCCCCTGAGCAGCACAGGGGAACGGGGGAATGGGGGTTATGGTCAGTCTACAGCACTTCTTCTCTGCCGCTCCTTCTCAGTCACTCTCGTCCCCTGTGCTGTGGGGTCCCACCTACGGGATGCAGTCCTTGATGAACTGATCTGGCGTGGGCTTCCCACAGGCAGCAGCTCTTCCAGAGCTGCTCCAGATATGGGTCCGTACCACGGGGTCCATCCCTCAGGAGCAAACTGCTCCAACCTGGCTCCCCCACGGGCAGCAGCTCCTGCCAGGTCACCTGCTCCTGCATGGTCTCCTCTCCACGGGCTACAGGTCCGGCCCGCAATCTGCTCCAGCAGGGGTCTTCCACAGGCGGCAGCCTCCGTCGGTGCAGGGCCACCTGCTCCACCGTGGTCTCCTCCACGGGCTGCAGCGTGGAACCCTGCTCCACCGTGGTACTCCATGGGCTGCAGGGGGACATCCTGCTTCACCATGGGCCTCACCACAGGCCGCAGGGGACTTCTGCTCCGGCGCCTGGAGCACCTCTCACCCTCCTTCTTCACTGACCTTGGCGCCTGCAAGGCTGTTCCTCCCAAAATACCACCAGCACCAGCTTAGCTCACACCACTGTTGCACTTGCCCTGTTCCTTGCGAAGCTGACCTGTCGTTGGTTCTGCAGTGTCCTCCTACAACACATAACTTGGATGACAGATTAATTTTCTCCCAGTGTTAAATATCCTTGAGGCACACACTTGATATCCCCATCTTTCTGCATTACCCACCAGGCATACCCTGGTCCTTGGGCAAAGACAATCCCACAAGTGGGTTTGCCTTTTCCCATGGCAGGGGCAACCCACACCACCTTCCCCATCCACTTCCCCACATGCACTACAGGGACTTTAGCTTCTTCCACAGTGTGTAGGGATTTTGTTTCAGCAGGATCAGGACGGCTGTCAGACCCCCTGTTGTTAACTAGCCAAGTGGCCTCTGGTAGATTTATATCCCAATATTTCCACGTCCCAGCACCCAATGCTCGCAACATAGTTTTTAACAGTCCATTGTACCTCTCAACCTTCCCAGAGGCTTGTGGGTGATAAGGGATGTGAGCTAAGCTGGTGTTGGTATCAAGAAAACCAGCTTCGCCTGCCCTGAGTGACCACTTTGACAAATGAAGCTGAAACCATCAACAGTTTTTATGAACATTTTGGGAAAAGACCTGTGGAATAAAGGGAAGTACAGACATATAAATGCTTCAATGGGCAGAGAACAATGGTGATGAGAACATCTATATATTAAACTGTACCTGATTGTGACAAGCATATCAGCTGAAGGTTCAGTTTTTATTCTACTGTGTATTGTTACATCGTCTCGAATAAATGTATTTTACCCATCTCAGTGATATTGCTTGTTTCAGCTTGTTTGGTTTTAATTCAGGCCTGAGCTGCTCCATAATCATTTGTTCACGTTTATGAGATTGCACATTGTTGACTAATAGCTTCATTTTGCTGAGTTTCCATTTATTACTATCACAGTTACAGCTGGTTTTAAATTTTTGTAACTTGCCTATCCTAGCATGAATCTAATTTCATTGACGTTTAACACTGATCCTGAGGGCTCCTCTTTGACTGTTTGTCACCCAAAGATCAAATACTTTTGCTGCTGACTTTTAAAATCAATTATAATCTCGCAGGATTTGGCTGAGAGGATAACCCAAAGTGAAAGGCAGTGAGTCTTAAGAGAGAGTTTCCCGATGCATTAAATGAGATTGATTTTCTATGTGCGGAAACAAAAGATCTGGTAAAGAAAAAAAAAAAAGAGCAAAGTATTTTCTGAGATACATAGAAAATGTGCATAAATCCATCTTGCTGTTCCTGAATGTTAGGATCTGTTATAATAGAGGACAATCTGGCAAAGTGATGGAGAGACACTGTTACAAAACACATTCATGTCTTCTTAAGGTAGCCCTTCCTCTTTCTTTAAACCCTTCAGTTTTTCCTGTGACACATTCTATCTTTGGTTAATTTAACAAAACAAAACAAAAAGTTAAATGAATCCTATTAATAAATCCCTTTAACTTAATAGAAATTAAAAATCCAATTAAACTGCAATTTAACATTTCCACAACAATATTTCACAGAATCACAGAATGGCCGAGGTTGGAAGAGACCTCGAAATATTGTCTATTCCAACTCTTCTGCTGAGCAGGATCACCTACAGAACATTGTGCAAGATGACATCTGGGTGGGTTTTGAGTATCTCCAGAGAAACATACTTCACAACTTCTCTGGGCAACCCATTCTAGTGTTTGTCACCCAATATTTCCCTCTCTGTTTACCAGATTTTTTAGCTTCATTAATTGAATCTGAACTAAATTTCCAAGTTAAAAAATAAAAAAAATAAAAAAAAATGAGGCAAATTGAAGTACTGCACTACGTATTTACTTATTTATTTATTTTGTGAATAGATAAATGCCTTCACTTTCCAAGTCATTTTCTTATCTATATAACTGACAAATACAGATTACTGGAATCCTTGAAAAAATATACAATAACTTAATGGAACTGGCAAACATTTTCTTGAAAATACCTTTTCACACTATGAACAATAATTCTACTTCAAATTCACAGGAAGAATGTACATTTGCTTCACACTTTAGGTTGAAAAACATTTTAAGGTATTGAATTTGAAAATTGTTAGAAAAATTATTCACCTATGGATAAGCAGAAAGGTCACTAAAAACACATTTAAAACTGATGTATTTTAAAAGCTTATTTCTGCTGCATACTGAATAATCACAGAAAATAGGCATAAAAGTGTAAGGCCTTTTGTCTAGCAATTCTTAGTAACGAGTTGCTCTTATGTGATCGATAATAGAGAAGAAGCTAGTGGAAAGACAGAGCCAGAAGGTAGAAAACAGTGATGGAGAAGCAACACACAGGAAGACAGAAGAGCTGCAAATAGAAATCTCATAGAAGTTAAGGAGAAGACCAGATGGGCTGGCAGAAAAAGCTACTCAGAGAAGCCCAAGATAATATAATTGCTTAATTGGCTAGCACGTCTGAGCAAGGAACTGCAGGATTGCCCTTTACTTGTCTTTCCAGGCCACAGATCACTTTAAGAAGCTTCTTTTTAGCCCTTCTGCTTTTCAGTTACTCCCTCCCCCAGTTGCGAACCTTCCCATAAATGAGAAATAGTCATTACAGAAGCAATCCAGCAGTCCTGAGAGACAGAGGGTGACCTTTCCTGGTGCATAAATTGACATCAGATGCAATTTCAGAACTTGAAGGAAATAATTTCATGTAAAAAATATGTTTGGAAATATTTTCCAAATGTCAGTTTTTTTTCTTCAGAAAATGGGGTCTTGCATCTGTTTTGTTGTTGTTGTTTTAAATCCAAATTGCAACAATTTATTTTATTAAACAGGACAATGTCTTTTGCTTAAAAATCAATGAAATTCAACTGCATTTTCTTAGAATATTGCCTGCTGGGAATTTGGACATTTCTGCACAAGCGAGCAAGAGTTTCAAATTACAGCAGATGATTTAGTCATGTAGGTCATGATCTAGGTATATATATGTAGGTATTTCAGTCACTTCATCCTGGGAGGAGTATTTCTCAGCACCACAGAGAAAATTGGAGGCCAGGCAACAATGGCAATACAATATGTCTGCATGCTGATCAGCTCACGAACAAAAGAAAATGAACCACTTCAGTTCCAGGAATGCAATGCTTGATTTCAATCAAAAATGCCAACACAAAATATGTCAACATCTCTAAATGAACGTTCTTTGAAATGTCCATATTCTGCAGGCAGGCTTTAAAACTCCACATTCTCTCAAATGAAAGCAAACCCTGAAATATCCTTGGGAAGGAAAATACGCAGTTTCTTCTAATCCACTTGTTTCTACTCCCCATTTTCAGAACACATCTTAAATAATGGAGGCTCTTAGCAGGGAGGTCAGAGAACGTTACAAAATGTTTAAGAGATAATCTGAGCTCCATGGTAAGAGTAGAAAAGACATGAATCTAGGGAACCCTACCAGAGGAATGAAAATCAAAATTTTATTTGGGGTAGAATCTTTGTAAATGAAATCTCAACAGAAATAAACACACATATAATGTAACTGTTATTGCACACACAAACACTAAAAGCAAATTCACAAAGATGTCCTGCTGTCAGAACTCAGCATTAATTTACTTTCCAATTCCAGTCAATTTGTTATCACAAATGCCCTCAATTAAAATGTTTTATCTGATATAGGGTGAATTAAAACAATCTTTTTATTCTGACAATAGAGATGCACTTAGTGGCATATAAAAGAGTAACTTAATGGGTACTTAATGGCCTGAAGCTTTAAATGAACAAATCATAAATTAAAGCTTTTGTAGCCTTTTATGCTTTCCCATTTGGATTCTAAAAATACAATTTGCATTCATTACGTAGGGCTGATATACAGTACCTTGTTTCCCAATGACATTCAGCTGCATCACAATATTTGCTTGATGCTGTTGCCTTTTGAAGAGCTTTTAATGTAAGGTCTAGGTCATATCCCTTCCCTGTGGAAGATGGACAGAATGATTTTAAACTTCTCTGGGAAACTCTGAATTTGCTGAAGTACCTAGTTTCTGAGCAGTCACTGACAATAAATCCATTTCTTCCTCTTCAGTGCACTTGATAATTTCAAACGAGGCAGTAGGGGGTGGATTTTCAAAACATCATGTGAAATCTGAGTGCAGAGCTTTGATAAGTAAATAATAGCCTTGCATGTGCCACTTTCTTTCAGTGACCATTCTTCTTATTTTTGTGACACTACCTGAAAGAAATACCTTACAAAAAATAAACCTAAAAAAAAAAAAACCACCTTTTGTTTTCTTTCCTAAATATTTTGTTTGTATTTTAAAGTGCTCTTCTATTTGTTTTTCACATCTGAATACTCACTGTAGTTAACCAGGCAGTCTCAAACTACAACACCTATATGTCACAGAAAACAAACCAGGAAAAACAAAACAAAACAACAACAAAACCCCTGAAAATTAAGCAGGAATATATGTAAGTTCTTAAGCACAGCAATACCTGTACTCTAAAGTGAATTCAACATGTCCTTAGACTCTACATCAATACCTGGCAGCTGTTAGTTTATGTCCTGGTCCTTCTTCCTGTGATAGGAAAGGTGACACCATGGACACCATGCTCCCCACCATCCTCAGCCACAGCTAGATGGAAAAGGTCCATGGGAGGTAACCATGACAGTCTTTTACATGCTGTTTGGAAAGGGTAGGAAAAAAAGTCACAACAGATTTCCCTCTAAATTTTATTTAAGGTATTTATAAAATAAACAGTGTCTTGCTAAAGCACATACACCTCACATTGCTCAGTAGTTGCTACCAGCTTTCAACACAGTACCTGCTTTAAATGCAGCAAAACCAGGAGTTCACAGAATCATACCACTTAATTTTCGACTTCGCCCTAGCAGATTTATGCTGTTTTGTGCAGAGAGGGTTAACAGTGCTGCTCCACAGGCAACTTACATATGGGACCCTGAAAAGAACAGGGTAGAGGAAAGGAGGAAACTGACTGTCATGTATCACCTTGCCCCTGCACGTACAAAGCATGAAGTCTCTTGCTGGCCTTTCCTCTAAACCCCCAGTAACAAAGCCTGTCTTCCCATCATTTCTGTCTAATAGACTGCTCTTAAATCTGTCCAAATAGGAAGACAGTTCTGGTAGTAACTAAGGTGTTTTTTTGTTTTGTTCTAACCAGTAATTATACAATTATACCTCATGTAATGCTCTTTTTTTTTGTTTGTTTGTTTTTGTTTTTTTTTTTTGCTAAGAGTTCTCCCTGGACAGATAGAATCAGAATCAATCACCTTGTCGAGGAGTCATTCTTATACACAAATACTGCTGCTGTTTGAATCCTGCACATTATTCAGTCTCTCTTCTTCCTGAGTCACTGAGGTTTTCAGTATATCAGTAATTTGGTGATTAAAACAAAACAAAACAAAACAAAACAAAAAAAAAACACACGCACATTCATGTATATATATTTAGAGATTCATTTTGTGTTATAAATATTCTCTTTTTATAAGAACATTTACCTAAATAAAAATAATTCCTAAACAGAAATGATTTACCTAAATAAAAATAATTCCTAAACAGAAATGTTCCAGGCTAAAAATATCAAAACCAGAAGAACTTCATTGTTTACTCAATATGCTTTGAAGTTCTAAAATAGAATTTGTACCTTTTTTTCTAAATTAAGTAATGTAATTAATTTTAATACTATGGAAAGAATTTTAATACGACTACCAAAAATTTGTTCTAACAATTTCAAACAATTTCCTATTTTTTCACTTCTGAATTACTTTCAAACATCCTGTTTTATCTTTCTGTTTATCATTGCTATCTGTTGACAAGGCATTTTCAGATGTTTTTGATGGTTACTCATAAATGAGGATTGGGGGATTTGTTGTCCTATAATATGGTGTGCTTCCATTTTTTCCTCATGTACTGCATTATTAGTATTTACCTCAATTTTATATACACTGTCATGTCTGGGTCATTTCAGTCTTTACTGCCTTCTGTGCAGTTTCCTCCCTGTAAAGATCTAGGTTTGCAATAATTCTCCCAACTGATTAGTTTTGAAAGTACCATATTGCATTTCCTCTTGTTCTCTCTCATGTCTATTTTCAGCTTCTTCTATACTGCAAGCCTAATGGGATTATATAATAACAATATTAGTATCTCAAATGATATCTGAGATCCTCTTATTTATTTATTATATCTATCATAGAATCATAAAGGTTGGAAAAAATCTCCAAGATCATCTGGTCCAACCATCCCATCCCCCTACCACTGATATTACCCACTAAACCATGTCCCTAAGAACCACATCTAACCTTTCCTTAAACACCCCCAGGGACACATTGACTATCATTAGCCAATGAACTTCTTTATTCCCCCATAAATAGCATGGGCTATTTTCTTTTTCCCAAAACTTTATTGCACTGAAGCAATAAAGCAATAAACACACCTTCTGGTAGCTACTAATATTAAAAGGTGCTTCCTATGTTAGCTCTTCACAGGGAGAGGAGTAGGACGAAGGGAGTCCAGTCTCCCATCTGTAATGCTTGCAGATTCACATGATAGAGAAACAAACACTTCAAATCACTTGAGAGCAGATTTACTACCTATCGCACTGTTATAAATCGCCGAGTCCCAAAATAGGATTATAATCAAAGTTTACAATTTATTAAAAGAACAGAGGTAAGCAAACAGCGCTGGGTGCATCGGGAGTCTCCGCTCCACCTAGACGCACACCAGTTACATCAAGTAGCTGATTTTTATGGTCCTAGGCTGATACACATTCATTACTACTTCTAAAAAGAAAACGGGTTATTATAATTAGCTTCCGGGATCCAAACCCTCCTACTGGAGCATGCGCATCAGTCTCCGGTGGTCCCCCTAGGGGTTTCTGGGGGTCTTTCATGCTGAAGGCTCGTAGTCTTCCTCTTAGGTTTTTTTTCTTGTCCTTCCCCTTTGTGCTCCTTGGCAGCATGTCAAAAGCTTACACAGCGTTCCCTGCAAGTTTTGTCTTCTAGCCGTCCTTCAGCTTCTTTCTTTCTTCTCCTTAATCTCCTGGCCACCTGGCCAGATATCAGGGGCTTGCATTGTGTCCCATTCAGAAGCCATAACAGTTACTAGTTGTTAGCAGTTGTTCTGAAACCCCCAGACATCAGAGACTTCAAAGAAAGAACATACAAATACAAATAGCTCTCTATTGACACTTCAGGTGTTGTTAAAACATTCCTCACAGGTCATTCACAGGGACACTCCAGTCACAGCTATAGCAGTGCTAAATCAACCACAAAGAAGGCAAAAAGGCTGTAACTGTTAGGAATAAGAGTTCGGAATAACAAAAGCAAATAGGCTCATGGATTTGAGGAATATTTCTGAAGATTTGATAAATTGACTGTAATGAGGGGGAGACTGGGACACTGGGAGGAAAGGGAAGAAACCACATCTGTGGAAGAATTAAATTGCCAGTGCAGGACCCAGAGACAGACAGAACTGCTCTCTATTGACATGAATTGTTAAAACATTCCTTTGCAAGGTACAAGAACTATATACATTAACCATTCTGTTTTTCTTAGACTTGTGGTTATACAAGGGTATGTAAGACAGAAGGTCACATTCATCATACCATGCGGCCCCAGCACTGTTCCATACTGACACGAATCAGATGAACATATATCACAATCCCCCATCTCCTTTTTCATGGCATTGATTCGTGTTTTCCTTTCTAATCAAGTTAATACTTGCCAAATTGATGTCAATTGATACCAATTCTGGATCTTTATTTGTTTTTATTATCATCAGAGAATGGGTTTTCTCTTTCCCTGGTTCTGGGTCAACAGGTACCGCAGATATTTGCATTCCTTGTATAACCGAGTGTATTAGTCTGGTAATATTAAACATGGAATTATTAACAATCCTCCACATATCCCCAATACAACCATCCTTATTTTAGCAAACCAATCACCATGCATAAAGTCCCCTTCCATAATCATCTTAGATCGATTCCATTCCAAATTTGAACTGGGACATGTGCAATTTTCTTCATTTCCTTTACAAGTTCATTTACAGCTTTTCTTTCTGTTGTGGTTTAACCCAGCTAAACAACACAAGGCTGCTCGCTCACCTCCCCCCCTCCTTCTCTGGGATGGGAGAGAGAAATGGGAAAGTGAAGCCTATGAGTTGAGATAAAGACAAAAATAATAACAATAATAATGACAATAATGATGATAATAGTACTACTAGTAATAATGTGTATGAAACAAATGATGCGCAATGCAATTGCTCACCACCTGTTGTCCGATGCCCAGCCTAACCCCGAGCAGTCCAACCCTCCTCCCAGCTCTTGCACCCCCAGCCTGTCCACTGGCAGGACAGAGTGAGAAGCTGAAATGTCCTTGGCTTGGTGTAAGCACTGCTCTGTAACAATTAAAACATCAGCGTATTATTAGCATTCTTCTCATCCTAAACCAGAACATAACATTCTACCAGCTACTAGGAAGAAAAACCCTTATCATCAATCTTTAAACAGCAATTACTAAAGTTAAATTTTCCACAGACTTCTCCTTCTTGTGGTAGTAAATAATCCAAAGCTAGGCGATTTTGATACAAAGCAGTTCTCATCTTGGTCTTTTGCTTTGCAATTAATCCAAGTGCATCTCCGGTTTTATTTATAACTATTTCTATTACAGCTAGTAACCTAATTATTCTATTAAGTATTTATATTGGGGTCCTATAGCCCCAGGATCCATCTTCTGTCCAAGTAGCTGGTTCATAATAGGCAAACACCTTCAATCAAGAGGTTGGGCCTGCTTTCAGGGTCGATTCAGGCTTGTGTTACTGTTCGGCCTGTCAGGGTGATCCAGCTCCTGGAAAAATTTATATAGGTTTAAAAAAAAGAGGTTCTTATGTTATTTTCTCAGGACAACCTGACCTTAGTGTGGGAGAAGTCTGGTCGAGGCCCTCTCACTCGGCAGTCAATACCCATAGGGGTTACCTCCCTCGGTAGACCATACACACCGCAGTGGAGGGTCCTGCCCCGGTCTTGCCTTCTCCCTTTCCTCCCTTCAGGCTTGTCCCCTTTACTTGGCATCCTTAATTCATGCAGAGCCTCGTTGCCAGGATATTAGTTCTTCTTTAGCTTTAATTTCATTTCCCCAGGAGCGGATTCAACCCTCCAAGTTTTGGTAGTTACTGGTCCTTTCATTCTGGATGCGTGGGTCCAGCCCCTTTCTGTGGTTCTCACAGCTGTTTCAGTAGTAAGTAGAACAAGGTACAGTCCCTCACATCGGGGGTTCAGTGATTCTTCCCTCCAGGTTTATTTATTAAGACCTTGTCTCCTGGTTGTATTTTATGAATAGCAAATCCTAAAGGTGGTGTTTGAGCCATCATTCCAATTTCTCTTAGCTCTTGTAATCTCCTTCCAATAGTAATTATATTTCTGGATGCTACGATCCTCAACTACATTGTTCCCTAGAGTCATCCCTTGAGAATAAGGCATATAATATAACATTTCATATGGTGATAATCCAGTCTCACTGTATGGTTTAGTTCTTATGTTTAAAAGTGCCAATGGTAAACATTTCATTCAGGGCATTTGTGTCTTGATCATTAATTTAGCCAATTGTTGTTTTATTGTTTGATTCATTCTTTCTCCTTTCCCTGAGCTTTGTGGGTGCCACGGAGTATGATATTCCCACGGAATACCTAATGATTGATGTAATAATTTTATTATTTTAGAAGTAAGGTGGGTGCCCTGATCAGAATCAATGTACTGGATTATCCCATATCTAGGTATCATAGAATTTTTACCACCATTTGTGCTGTAGCTCGTGCTACGGGATAAGCTTCTACCCATTGTGTTAAATGATCTACTATTACCAATAGATATTTTATCCTCTCTACTTTGGGCAATTCAGTGAAACCAACTTGTACTTTCTCAAAAGACCTATAAGCTGTTTTGTTTTGTTTCTCCCTCCCGTGGCTGCTTGTTGAAACACTTTCTTTTTTATCTTCTGACGAGTTAAGCAACGGTTATGTAATTTGCTTTGCTATTTCAAAAAAAAAAAAAAGAATGCAACCAAATTGTTTTAGTAAATGATCATTAACACCTTTGTACCCCAATGTGTTTGTGCATGCAAAAGTCCCAATATTTGCTTCTCATAAGCTTTTGGCAATATCTCTCGCCTGACTGGCCGTGTCCATTTTCCTTCTTCTAATTTAGCCCCTATTTTCTCCAGTTTCATTTGTTTGTTTTGTTTTGTTTTCCATTGCATTTCATAGTCGGTCCAAAAATTCCATAGGGGTTTCTTTTGGATTTTGTTGGAACAGATTCTCCATTCCTAATTTAACCGGATTTTGGTAATTACCGTTCATTATTTCCGGGGTGACTATAGTCTCAGCGTGGGGCCGGTCAGGGGAATGCAATTGTCAACAGTTCCCTGAGCGGTCCCATTGGCAATCTGAGCTCACTCATAAACTCAGGTTGTTTTAAGGGTTAACTGCTTTTCTGTTTCCGTGACAACTCTCGGACCATCATGGTCCCTCTGCCCCAAAGGGCTCACACTGGTGATTTTGGGATCACAGCCTCCTGTTGAGGCAGAACTATTAACATTCCTACATCCTCTTCCCCAGCTCATTCAACTTCAAACAGCTCTGTTAAATACTACACGCCACACCTTTAACACCTTCAACAACTCTTTTAACCCTTCCTTTATTTTTCTCCAGCCTGTACTTTTCTTATGCCAACATCAAAGGCTCAGTCAGGGGCCAACTTAATTCCACTCTTTTCCTCTAAAATGCTGAAACAACATATCAGTATGAGACATTTAATCCTGTTTTCCTTCTCTCCTCAAAAACAACATTAATTGCAAGATAGTGTTATAGTCGATTGATCCATAACTTGGCCATTTAGTTTATATAGTGGCCACCACTGACTGCAATACTTAGTGAAAGTCCTCTTGCTTTCTGTGCCTCTAGTTCTTCGAATGTGCCAATGTGCACCCAAGGAGGCTTTCTTTAAAACGTCTTTGTTTTGGATATTACCCATTTCCTTGATTTCCCATTCTCTTTTATTTGTTTGTTTATTTATTTATTTATTATTCCTTACTAGTTACTGTCCTTTGTTTCAATTTCCACGCAAACCTTTTTACTGCGGGTTTTTACTGTCTTTTCCTAATCTTCTTCCCAAATGTCCCAATTCTCTGGGATTAAACTCTTCTTCCCACATACAAACTTTACTATTTTAAATCATTAATGAGCCCCGTTTCAATCATAAATCCACGGAACTTCAGTAAAACAGCTGAAGCACGCAGCCTCCAGTCTTCTAGACAAACATTACCACCTTTTCCACAAAAATTTACATTTCAACAGGACCGAATTTCAAGCTGAATTTTTCTCATGCCCTTTGTTAGTAAACCCATACAAAACAAGGAATCACTCCTGTGTATCCGTCAACATGGGGGTTTAAAAGGTATTGACGCCTAAAAAAACTCACTCTCCCCCTTACCAAATTCCCAGGGCTCAAGCCCGAACCACCAAAGAAATGACTCTTTCAGTTCTGCTTTGATAATCAGTCAGCTCCCTTACCCCCCAGTACTTGGGAAACTAACCATACAAAGCAGCAAATACACCAACACTTCTCAACTGTTAGTTACTTAGATAATGCTCCCGCCTTTATCTTGTCACACTCAAAGCATTTAAGAGCAAAAATAGGATCACAAGATACACCGCCAGGCCCATATATTAGGCATCACCACTCAAAACTTGGATAAAACAGCCCTTCTTTTCAGTCTGTCACGCACTTCGTTCGTCCCTGCCCACTCTGCTCGCAGAGAATACAGAACCGCGGATCGGAACTCCGCACTCGCTTTGCAGCAACGCACAATCACACAGCACAATCACACAGCACAATCGCACAGTCACACAGAGAGGCCTCTAGCACATCTCATTCATACCACAAGAATATAATTTAGAATGATAACCAACCAAACAAGTATTGTCTCTGACTGTGTTCTTCGTGGATTGACTTAGTCCACTTTGTTTCAAACCCTTACACTTACACAAATACTTTCAACACAAAATACCTGGACATTCAAGAATAACACATACAATTATTAACACTCCAGTTAGCATCCCTCCAGCAGCTGAAAACATACCGTTTGTCCACAGCTTCAGGAGATCTTTATCTGCACCTGCGGTGAGCGGCTGAGAGTGGAGTCCCCTCCGAGCAAAACACTCAGGGTGCACCTAGGGGCGTCCGCGCCACAGCCGATCCCGCAGCCGAGCAGAGTGTCTCCTGCCTGGCTCACCAAAATGACTCACAGAAAGCTGACTCCACAATCAGTAAGATTGTAAAGTAAGTATGTTTACTCAGTTCTGGGCAGCACGGGGCGGGTAGTCCCACCAAAATCGTGCACGCCTAATGTGCCAACTTGCTTTGGTTATATCTAGTAAAGAGTTACATATACATGAAGTTTCCCAACATTCCTATACATATGCATAACCTGTCCCTTTGTGAACAGTCCTCCTTATCTCGGACCCCTGGATTAAAGTCTGACACATGAGGTTGTTTTTGATCTGGTTCTCGGGGTCTGAGAGGCTCTTGTTATCTGGAGGTATAAACGCAGCACAGGCACAGTACATCACAAATGTAGCACATATTCATTCTTAATCAATTGCTCTCTAATTTCTAATTCCAATGTTTCAGCTACAGCATGCTTGCTCTCTTCCGGATCCATGGGTATTCTACTATTAACATTAATGTTCAAAGCCTGACAGACCCCGTCCTCCGTGGACCCAAATATCAACCAAAATACATGGGGTCTTGAGGGTTCTTTTGGTCATTTTATCATATAATACTGGACCATTTTTAATTTACTCTTTCATTTTCTGGGGCCCCTATTGTTCCAATTTCTAATCATTATTCCTAATGGACTTTCTGGTAATTTGCTCCCTTTCTTCTGGTCCTTGGTCATCAATTCTGTCTGACCCATCTAGGAATTTTACTATGGCGATTCCCCACAGCCCTTGGTTACCTTAGTAAGAGTGTCTTGCAGGGGGTTTAGGACCTATCACCCACCCACGAATCCTATAGGAATCACTTTCTTCACCCGTCAAGTCCCCCACAGGAGATTGGAAACACGGTTAGAAGACCTCCACACTGACTTTGGAAGTCTCAGTTACACTCTCACACACACACACACAGGCAACTGAATCCCACCCAACCGAACAGTATACTCCTTAAACACTTACGACTCCATCGTCTTCGTTCAGATCTTCACATGCAGAATTACAGGCAAAAAAACAACAATGCTGCAGCTGGCAAGGGAGCTCATAAAAAAATCAAATTCTTTGCTTATTAAATTATCAAATTATTTGCTTAATTCAGGTTCAAGATGGCATTAGTCCCGACCTGACTCAAACAGGAGCCACCAAATGGCGGGGCGCCTCTCCTAGATCAAATCAGAATTCAGGAACCAAAGCCATCCCGGACGAGCCCCCAAATTGTTATAAATTGCTCAGTCCCAAAATAGGATTATAATCAAAGTTTACAATTTATTAAAAGAATAAAGGTAAGCAAACAGCGCTGGGTGCATCTAGGTGGAGCGGAGACTCCCAACGCACCCAGCGCTATTTGCTTACCTCTATTCTTTTAATTAATTGTAAACTTTGATTATAATCCTATTTTGGGACTGAGCGATTTATAACAGCACCATTCTGAGGAATTTACAAAGACGATATAACCCAATAGCTTTTTTTTTTTTCCTGCTGTACCAACACAAATATTTCTGAATTAATAAAATGTAGTAGCACCCTAATGCACAAGTTATGTTTCACTCAGAAGTGAATTATATAATTTATTTATAATGTATATAATTATATTTAATAAATATAAATTTTATAATTTTATTACAATTTTTATATTATACAATCTACAGCAATATTGTAGATTGTATAAGTGTTTTATGAGAAATCAAGATTACAAGAACTGTTGTGTTATAACAGAGGATTAGCTCTAAAAGCCCCCAAAAGTTGCTTCAGCAATGTTTATGCGTTATCAGTGAGCTTTCCTCCAGAACTGCTACTTTCATTGTTATTTTCCTCTCCTCTTTTCTAACTAATCTTGCCCTAACTATTCTACCTTTATTATCCCTTCTTGACTCTGAATTTGGATTATCTCAAGATCCATGTTACATAAGAACTTATTTTAAGCACTGACACATTTAAAAGGTGTTCAGCTCTTTTGATGCATGGCTTTTCTGCATGAAAGTATTGCTATTATCACAGTAAATGATCCTTAGTTCGAGTAGTGCCATGGTGAGTGAAGGAAGTCAAAGTCCAGTTAACATGCAAACAGCCCCATTTATTGATTTACAAGAATATGACTTGAACAGTGTTTCGGAATGATTTATTTTGCACACTAAATATTACTATATTTAGAATAGCTTAAAAGGATAGTTTTTATCTCCCACGTTGCTCATGAGCTAACAGCAAACTCCAGTTAAGTAAATTCTTACCTTAACTTTAGAACCAGGATATTTCCAAAAAGAATGTTCAGCCTGCTCTCAAGAGAATCTGACTTGTTAGACTTTACCTTGTTCCAACATGGAGTCAGACCATGCCTGGAAAGTCCTCCCTGGTTTCACAAGACAGACACAAGCTGCAAAATCCAGGCTTCAGTGGTATTTTGGAAACAAATCTAAAAATCAAGAAACATTTGTGTAAGAAGACTATTCCATTTGAATCTTCAATATTGCTATTTAATTGATTTTTTTTCTTCTGCCAAATGCTGTCTTTCATGCAAATCCTTTTGCAGTTTCTTCTAGATATTGACCCCAAATAGGATAAAGAATATTCTAGGAAAGCTTCAGACACATAAAGGTAGAAAGGCAATGAATACTTTCAAACCTTACCAGGAATAATTAATATAAACCTAAGTAGGAAACAGCAATGTAAAATTTTAAGCAAGAGCCATAGCAACATTCTGGATTTGTGAAGAGGTATTGAAATGCAAAGGACACCAAACCATTTCAGCCTTTACCTAGTTACATGAAAAAGAAAACAAACAAACAAACAAACAAAAAAAACATCTTTAATTTTGTCAGTTTTCTGTATTTTGGAAATGTAGAACCATACAATATCAAGATCATCAGATGCTGTTTTGATATTTAACATTAAACCTCCACTAGATGAATGGAAAAAAAAAAAAAAGAGATTGTCAGTGAAGAAAATACATCGTCCAATGTATCAAACAGATATCACAGAACAGATTACAGTATGGTTGTACATACATTATGGATTTCTATAGTATAAGGAAAATTTATTGAATAGATTATAATTTTTAGAGTTTTTTTTACTTTAAATTTATTTTAATCAGTTATATTATGCAACTTGGATAGGTAGTTGAATACAATGCATCAAGAAGGTTGCACAGGTATTTGTGAGTAACAATACATACATACCTATACATTGATCAATGGGTACAAGAGAGAACCATGACGATGTCTGCAACTTTCTCCCTTTCATTTTTTATTCCTTTATCTAACAGTGATGTAAATACACCCACAGCATCATATGTTGCTTATATTGACAGAACACCACACATAGGTGGATTTCTTTCAGCTTGCCCTGGGACAACCAAAGACAAGTTTCTCTATCAAAAATGTCCAACTCGGAAAGATTGCCTAATATAGAAAACTGCAGAGCAAACACCCAGTCTCTTATCCTCACTATGAAAAGGAGATCCTAGTAGCTCTACATCAGAAGCTTTACATTTAGTTTAAAAGATATGAAATTCTTATATTGTTCTGCTTTCTGTTCTATGTTACACATGATATTATCTTTTTCCAAGGGAAAATATTTGTGCGTACACTAAGTAGTTCATTAAAGCAGAAAGATGTCATGAGTTATCCTGAATATCTCAAGGATCAATCCAAGAATTTACAAATGACAATCATATAAATTAACTTCCACTCAAAACAAAAAGCTAATGATACAACTTTTTAAAATCAGATATAAGTTCTATCCAAAATATTTCGTGAATGCTTACGAATGATAACTACTGAAAAAGTGACCAGTATATATATTGTTCATATGCAGTGAAAAGTCAATAAATACAATTGCTCTTCAAAATTCTGCACGTTTCAGTCTTTAGTAAGGTTTTGTATACTAAATTTTTTTTAATACTTGAAAAATTTTTCTAAGGTAGCTAAGGATTTTGACTGACAATTCCTGATACTGATATTAAGATGAAGTTTTAGGCCTTTTTAATAATTGTTAATCCCATGGCTTCTGTAAAGGAGGTCCTCAGTTATTATGAATTAAGCACACAGAAACTGAAGCATCTTTTAAGATTTATGTATAGTCCAATATAAAGGATCAATCACAGTGTGTTAAGTGTCTATGCTTTAACCACCCTTTAAATGAGGCACATATTTATTTCAGTGCTTTCTGCTTTTCCCTTTACTATTGTGAAATGAACAGAAAACTTAAGTAAAATCTTCATTTCAAAATGTATAGATTACCTTTTTAAACACAGAAAAAAAAAAAAAAGTATTTAATTCTGCTTCCATTTGTCTGTACAGAGTAACTAAGCTTAGAGATAATGACAAAATAAATTCATGTCAGTGATGATTAAAATAGATCAGCAAGGAAAGACAATTGTGCCCTGTATCCTTCTGCTGGAGCAGACTTTATTAACAAAATGAATTTAAAATATATTTAATTTTTTGTGTATAGTAGCTGTACTGTGACTTTTTCTTCTTTTATACACATGAAAAATTAGTCATCTGAATATAAAGTTGCCCCAAAGTTTTGTTACTGTTTTTGTTGGTATATTATCAGAAAGACAACCATTTTAAGTGGAAATCTTAAAAACAAAACAAACAAACAAACAAACAAACAAAACAACCCTACACTTATAGCAACAATAAGAATAAGGAAAGAAACTAGCAAGAGATGCACTAAGCAGAATTTTATTTATTTCATGAGTAATACAATCAAATAAATTATTTGGGATCAGACTAAGTACCTTCTTCAAGAAGCCTGTACAGTATGCACTTTCATTTATACCTGCTCATGTTATAAAATGGCATCTGACAACCATTAAGCTCAATTTTTCATAAATATTATTGATAGCTTCTTTCTTGAATGATTACCTCCTGTGAACCTGGAATGAATAAAAATGATGAGATGTGCAGATAAACCATTACTGAAATTTTTCATGAGACTTACATAAAACAGGTGATTAGTAGTGAAAAGATGCATTTAATAGAAGTTATAGTAATGTTTCTTTATTGATGAGATGCTCCAAGTCCTTGAACTTCCACAGAAACCTCTGAAGCTCTGGCAGTCCGCACGAGTAACTGGCCAGAGTTCCCTTACGTTTAATCTTGTCAATCACAAATATCTGGTTTTAAATCTATTTTTTCTATGGATTCCTA